CTCGTTAGTTTTCTTTATCAGTCGAAGTGCCACGTGCTCTCTCTCTCTCTCTCTCTCTCTCTCTCTCTCTCTCTCTCTCTCTCTCTCTCTCTCTCTCTCTCACTCTTCGTCGTTGTCTTCTTTGCAGGTACGCGGCACCTTCCTCCCCCAGCGCAGCCATGGCGGACTTCTTCTTCGATGATGGCGCACTTCGGCTATGGCGCCCAACTTCAGCATACCATGGACAAGAACGGCGCGTGAGATAGCGGGTACCAGCTCCAAGACCAATGCAATCAGACTCGCTTTCTTTTCCACTCCGCACTCATGCAAACCGATGGTGAGACACACTGGCGCACAGCACCCACTCAAAGCTCAGAGATATGAAAGTCGAAAACTCAGTTCAGATACAAGCTCGCTTCAACAGGCTATGGCGCATCAGCGCCTGTACACTCCAACTCTCGGCTCTCTAACCAACACCTCTGTTCACACTCACTCAACCCTGGATCACCCTGGATATCCCACACGCATGCACACACTCTCGCACTCACACACTCGCCTATCAGCTATGGCGGCTATGGCCGCTGTCCCTCTGTGGCTATGGCTTTCTATCTCCTTCAGCCCACCTCGTCTCCGGGCACTCTGCAGACCACCTCGCACAAGTCGCTCAAGCAGCACTTCCGCATGGCTTACGCAGGAATGAATGAATGGCTGGATGCTGCCTCTTGATTTATACTTCTGGAAGTCGCTGGTCTGCCTCTTTCCACTGGCCCCCTGGTGCACACAGTCCCATTATCCCATATGGTACTTGCTGACTGGACTAAGTGCGACTGGGCCTGGGAACCGCTGACTCAGCAAAGGTGGACTTCACCACTTGCCCACTTGCCTCTAGTCTACTGTGAGCAACTTTGGAAGGGCCACTGTGGACTTGGCCCCTCGACACTGTAGCAGCTACGACCTTGACCTTTCAGGACTGTAGCAGCTAAGAACTTGACCTTTCAGAAGCGCTACAGCTATGACTGCTGGAACTCGCTAAGACCTCTACCCGACAGGTCTACAGATCGAACCCCTACAACCTACGGACCTACGACAGCCTACCAACTGTTGCGAATACACAGGTCACTGGTTCAACTCTCGGGTCGACACAGGTACTGTACACAGGTAAGGTAAAGACTAGGGATCGAGCACTGGGATCTGCATTCGCTACTGCTAATAGGTGAATACCGTTTCAGTATACTTGATTTTACTCACCACAACTATCTGGATGTGTTTGAGCCCATGCACGGTTGTGCCAAGCTCAATTATGCCGTTTCCGCACATCTCCACAAACACGTCCTCATTCAGGCGTTGATGAAACTCAACGCTGCTAGTTCCAAAATGCAGTTTCGGTAAAAAGGAACCGCGGGGGGGCTTTTTTTTTTTTTTTTTTTCCCTTTCCCCATCTGACACCACGGCCGACCCCTGTAGTTATGACACCCAGCGTGACACCACGGCCGCTGTACTTTCATAACATTTTTTAAATCGGTGGCTGGTTTCTTTGCAGGTGGTTGTTTTTTCCTGGAACATTCGAAACTCTCGGGTGACATAAAGGAACTTGCCCCTTGTATGTATATAATGAGTCAGCGAAACTCTGACGAAACAGTTTGTCGCAGCCCCTCGATTCTTGTCCTCTTCTCCCTCTCTGCCTACGATTTACCGGGCAGCTCTGTAACTCTGTTTGACTATATATGTATATTATATATACAAAAAGGTGCAACGGGTATCGAAGATTCTTTTTTTCGTTTTTATTCTAAGGGGAAAAAAAAACAATTTGGAAGTTTAAATTTATTTTGAAGAGCAAAAAGTGCTGAATGACTGATCGGCAAAAACGGTGTCGTTATGAGGATGAATGACCAACGTACACCGGTTCAACTGGCATTCATTGCGCACACGGAGACATTAGACCAAATGCAATTTTTTTTTATTCAAAATCCAACTACATTCAACATTCAGCCCCGAGACCCCATGGGCCCAAAAGAATACCTTTGCCACAACGACCGATCCACACTCCCCTGCCCACAATGATCGATCCTCGGGCTGTGTCCCATCAAGACGTTTATCCAGATCCCCTCTCCGGCCGGGGGGGGGGCTTATCACCTCTCCTAGCCGTAGGACTGGTTATTGTTGAGAGAGAGAGAGAGAGAGAGAGAGAGAGAGAGAGAGAGAGAGAGAGAGAGAGAGAGAGAGAGAGAGAGAGATCCTGGAGGACTCTGGAAGTTTGCACTGCGCTGCGGCCTGTGTGGGAGCCGAAACGGCAGTGCGAGCTTCATGAGCTCGGCGCGCATATGACCAGACGAAGCCTTAATAGGGTTACCGTAGCCAAATCATAATTTGCATTCGAAATAAGCGCAAAAAGCTACGTCTTCCCCCGAATCGAAGGTCATTATTGCTGTATTGTGGACGGAAAGTTGCCCCAAATACAGGCATAATGACCGTACCTTCTATTCGGGGGAAGAAGGTAGAGAACATACGACAGCCAGATGGCTGCAAGATGGCTGATTGGTGAACGAACGCATATCACGCTTGTGACGTGATGAACACATAGAAGCAGTTTGTGTCCTGCCGGTCCCTGCTGGATGTAGCAACGTTACTTGCATTTCGCTTTGGTTTGTTTTTTCTTTTAATGGTTACAATGGAAACACAAGTTTAATCATCAACGATCCAATCAGCGGTCCAATCAACGGTCCAATCGAACGATTCAATCACCTATCCAATCAAGGAAGCAACCAACGACAACAACTTATTCACACAAGTGTGACTATAGCAATCCCTGAGACCCGAGACGGACAAAGGTCAATCATTCATCCATTTTTTAATTATTATTATTACTCTTTTAATTTGTGTCGTCCTTGCGCAGGGGTCATTCTAATCTTCTCTGTATCCTTCCAATTTTAACGGATGTCCTTCGACTTCACGTGGGAGGGGACTGTTACTTTGGGTGGGGGCGGAGGAGATGGGGCAGAGCAAGGAAGACAGGACGGCCACTCACCTCTCCGATCCCTACGTCGGTTTGACGCTCGACATGATGGACGATTTTCCAATTACAAAAAAAAAATAAAAAAAAAAATCGGGAAAATGATGAAGAGCAACTGACCAGGTCTCCGGCAACACACACAAACCACCCACGCGTGTGAGACAATTTACACTGTGTACAGGCCAATCGGCAAAGCGAGGTTGCTCCGTCATCTCCCTCGGGGATCGAACCCGTGTCAGTCAAGCACACTCGTTGCAAGCAAGAGAGGATGGGATGCTTGTGACAGGGAGGCGGAATGCCTAACTACGATAGAGCGAGAGGAAACACTGTGGAAAAAAATAGAAAAAAAAGTAAAATCGACTGATCAGACTGAGTGCTCACCCGTCCACGTTGTGGACGATAGGTCCATCACAGCAAATATCACCGTCCGATAACGTCGCTGGACCTCTGCTGCCCCTGAAGTTGCATTCACCCACCACAAGCTTTGACGACAAAGATATCAAGACTGTCACAAGCAAGGCAGCAGCCATCGCCGAGCTTGCACCGGGCTTGCCCATGAAGGCAGCCCTTAGTAGTTTCGTGCACACCCCAGATGCAATCCCACCGCTGGGAGGACACACAACTCTGGCAGGCAATCGTAATCAATCGTAAGGAGAATGAAAGCACGGAGGGCAGCAGAAGGACCGAGAGCGAGAAAGAGGAAGTGCCAGTGAGGGGAAGATCTCTTGCACAGGGCATAGGATCAATCGATGAGCCCTCTATATATACGTTGTCGTTGTAGATCGACACTCGCACCACTACGCGAACAGTCCAGATGCACCCGGTCCAGAAAGCGTCCAATTGTGTGCATATAGAGCTAGACCTCCTCATACTTTCAACACACGTTCAAAATGTTGGACAAGTCTGAATGCACCTGGTCGACCGGGTGTGCAATTTTATGTGCCTTGTGGAATGTTGCGTGGTGGATAGAGGCGCACCTGGTCCATCTTCTGCATGAGCGGACGGCTCGGACCGAACCACAGGCAAGGATTCGAACTGAGGCTCTGTACTTCTGCAGTTCATAGGTGTACCAACTGAGCTAGGCACGCTTGTATGTTTGTCATCCTTGCCCAGAAGCCATGTTATTAAAAAATAAAGATAAAAAAATACAGAGTTCTTGTCTCTACTCTTAGTAGATGGGAGGCGCAGGTACTGGCAAAATGTTCGGTCTTTGTGTTAGCCCCTCCCCCCCCAAACCGGCCCACCTGCGGCCGCGCCCTACTCCCTGACCACCGTTGATCAGGGATTGAAGAAGTCCCCTGTATAGGCTTAGGAGTAGTGGTGGGTACCATAGTGAAAGGTGAAATTGAGAGTAGAAACTGTAGAACATAGCATAGTTGAAATTACAAAAAAGAAAAGAAACAAACACAGAGGGGAGAAAAAAAAAACACAGATGGCGGGAATTATGGGATAATTGGTGGAAAGACCCCGGAAAGTTAGGCGCCCAAATTAGAAAGGTTTTGGCGTGGGGGCATTCTATGTTCTCACTTCTACATCCGACAGCAGCATTACTCAGGGGATAGTTGGTGGAAACTGCCCAGGCCAAAACCTTATTGGTTTTGGGCACCCAAGCAAACTTTTCCCGCTTGGCAAAAAGTGCCCAGGGGCAGCACAGGCGTGGGATGCAGAAATCTGGTGGCCGAGATCGGGGTCTACGACCGCTGGGCCCCTTCCTACCGGATTGAGAACCTGGTTGAGTAATTACGGGATAATAATAATAATCATTGGTGGAAAGCGCCCATGCCAAAACCTTTCTGGTTTGGGGAGCCCAAACCTTTCCCGTTTGAAGACCGTTAGGAAGGGGCCCAGCCGTCGTATACCCTAATCTCGGCAACCAGATTTGGGCATTTGAGATCTGACGGCCTGTCGGTGGACGCTTTTTGCCAAGCCAGAAATGGTTTGGGCAACTTTGGGCGCCACTCTAAGACTTGCCACCAGTTATTCCGAATAATGGGATGATTGGCGGAAAGCATCCATGCCAAGACCTTTTCGGTTTTTGCGCGCTCAAACCTTTGGCTGCTGGCATTCTGTTGGATGTAGAAGTAAGAACATATTAGTTTACTGGAACCATTTTCCTGCAGCTTTTTCTTTCTTTCTTTCTTTCTTTCTTTCTTTCTTTCTTTCTTTCTTTCTTTCTTTCCATCTTTTTTTCTCCTTTTAAGCAGTACACCACACATAGGCCCGGCGGGTGTCAACATGAAACCCGCACCACTTTGGAGGCCACCGATATTTTTTTTCAACAGCACCCCTGGCTGTGGGGGGGGGCATCCGAGTTTTGCATCTGGGGCGACAAAAACTTTCTGCAAGAAAATTAAAAAAAATGAATCCAATCCACTGATAGATTTGGACCGGGGTGGATACGGGGTGGATTTGTATGGTGACAGGGTGCAATGAGGAGTCTCCTGACCATAATTGAATCCAATCCACCTGACAGCTCGGTGGTCCGAATACAGGAAGTGGAGGGGGTATGGAGGGCTGCTGCCCTCATTAAATTGAGATATATTGGATGTATGTAAATTAGGATAATTGCTGAAAAGCGCCCACATGGAAACCATTTCGCTTTTGGGTGCCCTTAAAAACCCAGGCCAGTGCTGTGCGCCCAGGGAAAACCATACCAGGGTATTTTCATCCCATGTCCAACCCAACCCACAGCAGTTTTCCCTGGGCCCTACTTGGCTACCGACCTCACATGGGATGAAAATACCGCCGTATCGTTTTCCCTGGGCGCATGGTAGTGACCCTGGTTTTTCGCGCGCCCAAAACTGAAAACCATGTAAATTTGCTCACTGTGCTTGCCGTTAACAAGCAACCTGACTGCTATCCCCCCAGAATAGATGGGGCTGTGTGAGTTGAGATAAAAAAAAAGAAAACATTAAACAGTGGACACACCATGTTTTGAAACACTAAAGGCAGATAAAACTCGCCCCGGCAAAGAAACCACGCACCAACTCACAACTGGAAATGAGCGATTTCGGTCCAAAAGTATTTGTTGGGCATTTTCTGTATTTTGTTTTGTTTTCCCCTCTGACACCACGGCTGACCCTCGTAAATATAACACGCATAAATATGACACCCGGTCTGACACCACGGCCGTCGGCACTTTCGTCGCCTTTTTGAACTTGGCGCGGTTTCCTTTGCTGAAGCATGTTTTTGTATGGCCTTTCCATACTCAAAGGAGACATTAACGTACTTTCCCTCAAGAGAAAAAACACAGTCAGCCTTTGGACAGTCCGTGTGTCCTTTGGCTTTTCCCTTAGGCGTCGCTCTCGTAGATCGTCGACCCTATTTCGTTTCTTCTTTTAGGCTCGGTAGAGAGACGCAGGCCAGGCTATTGGTCCGTAGATGGAACGGGGACTGTCAGAGCTGTGGACTCGTGGGGTGTCCCCTGATGGATGGCTAGGATGTGATCTAAAATTTCGGGCCGGGGCCTCATGTCCCTAGCCGCGATATTCCGTCGTAGAGCAGTCTTGATTACTCGGTTCACATTTTCTGCAAGGCCGTTTGATTGAGACATATGGGGCGAGGTGCTCCGAATGGAGACACCATGTGGGACTAGGCCATTGTATGTGTGTCTGTGTTTGTATGTGTGTGTGTGTGTGCCTGTAAGGGGTGAGGCGGGGGGGGGCGTGGGGGGGGCGCAACCTCTCCCCCACCAATCAATCAATCAATCAATCAATCAATCAATTAATCAATCAACAAAAAAGAAAATAATGAAAAAAATAACGAATAATTTTTATTTTTTTATTTGTTTTCTTTTTAACTTGCACCACGAAACCCCCCCTCTGAAAATTGTTTTTTTTCTTTGTTCTTTTTTTTTGAGGGGGTGAGGCGGGGTTTGCACAACCCCAATCGACTTTCCAAAATCCAACCCCCACACGACCGCAAAGTAGAGCGGCCACGGCCGCCTCCGTGGGAGATTCATAGGTTAAGATCTCCTCGGTGTCTTGATGCAATCTGAGGAAACGGTTGACATATTGCACAATTTTCGTTATCTGTCTCGTTCTATATGGGTAACCCTCAATCCATTTGGAGAAATGGTCCACAAACATGAGTAGGATTGTATATTCACAACTAACTGCGATTTCGTCAAAACGAACATTTTTTATTTTTTGTACGAACTTGAGAGTCAATTTTTTTGCGATTTTTGTATGTAATTTATGAAGTATGTTATGGGTATAGGGTCAGGGGTTGGGGGTAAAGGGGTAAGAGGTAAGGGGTAAGGGATAAGGGGTAATATGGGTAAGGGGTAAGGGGTAAGGGATAAGGGGTAATATGGGTGAGGGTTAAGGGGTAAGGGATAAGGGATAAGGGGTAATATGGGTAAGGGGTAAGGGTTAAGGCGTAACAATGGTACCCGGTCAGCTGAAGTAACACAATAATGGTGTTCAATCGGGCATGTTGCGCTGTTGCTTTGTTAAATACATCCGAACATGTTCATGGGTGTCTATCCACCACAGCCAATGAACTATTTACATTTGCACAAATTTGAACAAATGTTTTGCTTTGATCATGTCGTCTATCATATGTCTTTTGTTGCACAAGTAACTGCTAGTTCGGTGTGACAAGTACATCTAAAGCGATCCGTCCCTTTATATATTGTGAATGTCGTCAAAAGAGAAGTTGAATGACGGGAGAAATCCTCTTGCCAACAATGACGCATATGTTAGCATAAACACACCGCATTCATTAATGCCGCGCTGTCTAGGAATGCCTGACACATTCCATAATATTATGTGGTTGAAATCTTTTGTATCTACCACCTTACCCTGTTCAACCGATCTTTCGAACAAGAATTTTCCAAAACCACCTGTCACTTTCCTTGCCAATCCTGTGTTAGGCGTAAGCGAGTCGTAGTACTCCATTTTGTGGCGTTTCAAGTCCGCTATTACTAGTGTCCAACGGTTGGACAGCCGAATATGGAATGAAGCTATTGGTCCACGTCACCCACATCTATATCTGTCATCCACTTTTGCACTACGCTATATTGGTATTGCATGTCGTCGTCGGACAATTTCACGAAGAAGAAGGAACTAAAAATTGTCGTTATCGGGATGCGCCATTTTTCTTCTACTACGGTTCCGTCTTGTCCACTATCATACTCGCGATGGCTTATGCGACACATGTTGTCAAGCCTAACGAGGTTTAAATAAAAGTTAACTATTTCGGTGTTCAACCAATTGCCTCGAACCGGTTAGTGTTAGTTCTTCTTTTGTTGCCCTGTTGTACGTGGATGTCCAGACCGTCCGATTCTCCACTTGCACTGAATCTCGTAAATGTTGTACCGCGATCGTCTCCTTCTCCGACAACTTATCCGTTGCTAAGTGGATCGTCCATCCTAGTTTGCATCCTCGTACTTCTTCTATGTTCCTCATTTCTGCACATGACAACACATTATGCGTCAGCGTAAGCTATCGTTATTGGGGCCTGCCATATTTGCATGCTCGAAACGGCAGACAAAATTTCAATTGCTAAACCATGCCAACAAGATACTATAGCAAGTTGACATGAACACCCCGACCTCCACCCTTCCGCGTAATATGCCGCATAACACAACTACCATTCTTGCCAAATTAACCTGTATTTTTTAGGAGCAAATCGATTCATGAAACTTATCGCGATCTATGATGGTTAACGGTAACCCTGCTTCCATTTGTTCATGTTCACTACTCTTGGCAATATTTTGAATATAAGTTCACTACTTCAGCCTTGTTGTTTCACATTTTTTCACATTATTTTTTTTTTCATTTCGTTAGTATGGTTTTCATTTTTCAAGTTCGTGGGGATTTAGGTTAAGACAATCATTCGTAACGCGCTAAAAAATAACATAACAAGTTCTCTTAAATTTGAGGTGTCCTTGACACATGGCAGACAAAGTGCCCCATATCGTGTGTTTTCACATGCCTTTATTATAAAACTGTACCAAGCACGCGCACACAATTTAATCCACACACAGAACCTAACGCTGCTAACGAGTCCACCTCTGCCCCCCCCCCCCCAACACACACACACACACACACACACACCTACGTATCCAGATGGGGCACCCTCTATGATTGGGAGTGTTATTTTGAGAATTGTAGTGTCACAATAACACTTCCAGTAACACAACAATATAACCTAAAACGCATAGACACCCCCCATTCCTGTCTAACATAGTTTTCTAAAGTAGTAAGTAGCAGCAACACATCAATATAACCAAAAATGCTTAGACACCCATGTGAGGACCGGATGAATATCCCATCATCATTAGTGGCAACACATCAATATAACCAGAAACGTATAGACACCCATGCCTGTCTAAGCATTGTTTATGCATCTACCACAATTTTTTTTATCACAACTCTCGTAGACCGTCTCAATCGTTGCACGTCCTCTTCGTGGTCACCTTTCACTCTTGGTGTAACGTACTCATTTTTCCGCTCGTTATATTGGATCATATGCTCGCCCGTACTCTCCAATCTCATATCTATTATGGAATTTTGTTCGCGGGATCCCTCACCTTTCTTCGTCTGCTCTGTTGCTGCTGCCTCCTCCTCTTGTACCAGCTTCACCGTCTGGCTTTCACCATCCTGGCCAGCATCGGTCTCCATCATCTCAAATACGCCTTGCCCCGCCGCCATTGTGGCTACAAGAGACCCGAAAGATCCAACGATTGTTGCTCCATCGTTGACCCCCCCCGTTGGCTGCTCCGTCAATGTGTCTAACTCCATGTCGTCGTCGTCCTTGCGTATCATAGTGGAATCCCCCATTGCGCTTCTCTGTGTGCTTTGTTGAGCACATGCTTGCAACTATTCGTTGTGGACGTGAATTGCGTTTGCACGAGTGTCCGTTTGGTAGGCTGCATCCCCTCTAGCAATCGCGACGATGGCGTTAGACGCGATGACGTCTCGAGTCTTAAGAGAGTTGATGCTTTCGATTCCTTGTACTGATGACGCCTGTTCGACTTTCCAATCGATGGAGCCGTACGACACACTTGATGCAAGGTTGTAGAACTTTGTGTTGAATTCCAGTTGTTTGTTCGCACGCAAATGCTCAAACAATGTTTTCGCCTTTGCCGCTATAGCCACCTCGCTTGCACTGACATTTTCTTTTTCCACTCGCCGAAAAAGTTGCGTTTCCGTCACACTGTGCCATATCGCAGCGTCCTTTTTTTCCCTTGCGACCCACCCGCGGTGTCTTGTCTTCACAACCATGTGCCACTTGCCTGCAAACACGTACGGTTCGAACACGTCCTCATTCCAGAGAATATGATGACCCCAATCCGCCTTCGATGACTCCTTGTACTTGTCTTGCAGCAAGTATGGCACTAAAGGGTCTTGAGCAAAGCCTTGATGTAACGATTTTCCTGGCACGAGCTTCGGCGTGAGTGTTATGATATCAAAGTCTTCGTCTGCAACTGTGTCCATCGACGTGAGCGTTCGCTCCTCGGCCTGCTGTATATGTGTCGATGACGGTCCAGTTGTCGGCGGGATCATTGCACACCCATTCGGTCCTCCCCCTGAGTTGCCCCGTGAGTTAACAATTCCCTCACTCGCACCCACCGGGTTCGTTGATACACCATTTTTTTTTCCCCCTTGCATTCATTCTTGTTTCCACATTTCCCTCACTCGCATGTGTCGCTCCCAGACTCGAGCTCGCCTTCTCCGCAGCTCCGTTGGTGCTCCCTTGCGGCTCCTCGGCACGTGCTCCCTCCGGCACACCTCGTGCCACGCGCGACGGAACGTCCAGGTCGGAGTCTGACGTGTCTTCGTCGCAATCGATGTTGTTGATATTGCCGGTTTTATGTGCCAAGTCCGCATAGTCCCTGCTTGACAATGCTCTTTTCTTCATATTGAAATACAGATGCTCACAACGTGCGACGAACATGTGGAAAGCACCCATGTGCGTGCCGTGGTACTCGTTCATTGTTATCTCAAGTTCATTTTTCCTGATTACGTAGTCGTTATCAATCGCCGACTATGGACTGTCACCGAACAAGTAAGCCCACACTTTCTCCCTCTTTCTGCCGAGCTTATAGTATATGTCCCGGTTCTTGCGGTGCCCGATTTCGGGTTTTTCGAACCTACATTTGTTCCTCGGATCCTTCACATAAAACTCCAAAAACTTGGAAAGGTATGTGAGCTATTTTGTCGCGTTATCACACGCAAACACGTAGTGTCCTGCGCGAGCGAGTTCCCAAACCAGTCTCGCATGCGCCCTGCCCAACAGCATCGAGTCATCGTCGTCCCTGATGAACGAGCTGCATAGTCTTCGGAGACGTGCTGACTCTCGCTCCATCCAAGAATAAACCGGGTCAATGTTGCCCGATACGCCGATACACTCCCATGAGCACCTCATAAATTTTCCCTCTTCAACGTTCAAATTTATCAACTCGGCTCGCAATTTCGGCGCATCCGTTATATTGTCCGAATTGTCGTTCTCGGCGTGGAGGACAATAGTCATCATGTCAGTGTACCGAACTGCAATGTTGCCGTACTTTTTCAAGGTGGTCGAAGGTGTGTAGTGTCTGTATCATGACCCAATGAGCACCTCAACATCATCCCACTTGTACACACTCTGCACGACCTGTTTCTGGTGCTTCATCGACGCAAAAATGATCAAGGCCCAATTTTCGCCACAGCATGTCATGAGGTTGCCCGTAGCTTCATCCCCCTCGCCGTACCAACAACCTCCTCGTTATCGGTGAGCACTCCCTTCGGTTTGATTTCAAATGGCAGGAGCGTGGTAATCCTCTTCCCCACTTCCCAAAAGATGTGACAAGCACTGGAGGGTATTCGATTAACCTCCGCTCTCAGGTCGTCCAAGTAGTCGATCGCCTCGCAAATGAAACACTTGAGGTGGAACGGGGCTTCCTTGTACATGTCTTGGGTTGCCTCCTGTCCCGCACCGTTCTCACTATTTTCCTCATCAGGACTGCCCAAACGCCTCGACACCTTCCTCGCCTTGTTGTCAGGGATGGGGTCGCGTTTCTCGGTCCATTTGTCGTCAGTCAGACCGCTTTTGTTGTACCTCTCCAAGATGGTCGTATAACCAATGAAGAAGTCAGCGTTCCACTCTTCTTTTGACCTTCCCTCGGCCTTGAACAATATGTAGTTGAAGATACGGACAATATACCTTTCACGCCGAGTATATTTCACCAAGTCCGCCATATTGCATCTACCATGAACAACCGCACATGATGACACGATGACATCACCAAGCATCATGTGGTGAAGCGCCACTTGCTTCTCTCTTGCTGTCATATCGCCGAACTGCTTGAAGATTGAAGGCGTCAAGTCAAGTATAGACACCATTGCGCCTGGTGGCCCCTTTCTGGCCTTGATGCAGTGGAACATGACTTTTTTGTTGAAGTTGTCCTTGAGGAAGTATTGCCCAGGCAGCCTCCCTTCCACTTTCCCCGACAGGTCGATGTATCTCACACCGTTGATTCTCGGCAATAGCCCTTTCTCGTACATGTCAAAGAATTTCTGTACTAGTGGCCATACCTTCTCGCCGCACTGCGCAAGATTCATGTATCCGCGCATCTTGTTCGTGCAGTCCTTGTTGTACTCATTCTCCAGGGACGAGTTCATGAAACCGGAATCAGGTGTCATTTTGCATGCGGCGTTCATGAACGTTTCCCATTTCCTTTTCTGTTTCATTCCCTCGACGTCATTCGGGAACACGGTGCCTAGAGGACGGATCCGGTCATTCCTCTTATCCCAAAATCATCTGATTCGCCGCACAGATGACGAAAACGATCTCGGGATGGAACGCTCCTCCCTCGTGTTGTCGAACGTCGAGACGTACAGATATCCTTTCTTTGTGTCATCGTCAAAGTAGACAACACGTATGTGAGAGTATGACCTCAAGCCATACACTTTCTCGGTCGGTGACTTGTCCTGAGTCTGTTTATTGCCTCAGCCGTGTGCTGGCCAGCAACAGCATACCAGTTGTATGTATGAGCTAGTTCGACGTCGAATTGCTTCGGTGTGATCCGTCTGCCTTGAGACCCATCCCCGTTGGGCACAATGGGAGCCAGGATGAAAGTCATGATATCCCACTTGCAGTTAGTTTCCTTGGCCGCATTATGGATCGCATCATATATGGACTGCATCAACGTTTCGTCCAATGTTCTGTGGTTGAAGAGGATTTCACCTTCAGGAATTGGCAAGATCTTCGTGACATCCACTTCAATGTGTTCCCGTTTCTTCTTCGCAAACCCATCTTCATCGAACTCCAAGAAGAAGCACAGTGTTGTATCGATGGCTTCATCACGGGTGTTGGCGAAAGGTTTTCTCTGTTCCGACAGAGCTTTAGGAGGAACCCCTTCGGCATCCTCTCCAGAGCCATCCTCATCAACCATCTGCTTTCTTTTCGGTGGACGTTTCTCCGCTTTTGTCGTTCTAGTTGACAGCGACCCTTTCGGCGACAGTGAGTTTCTTCGCAGCGCGCTTATCCGCCCTCGCCGTTGGACTTGTTGAAGATCGTCGCTTCCTTTTCTGCACATTGCCCTCCGACCGCTCTCCTGTTGCCTCATCGACCTTCACATCAGCCGACCCATCTTGCCTTCCATCCTCATGAACGACAGGATAGGCATCATCGTTTTCTCCATCGCCCCGTCGTCCTCCTCATAGTACTGTCGAGACTTCCCACCCTCGCAGTCGTGCATAGATTCCTCACGATCCTCCCTCTCTCTCTCTCTCTCTCTCTCTCTCTCTCTCTCTCTCTCGCATTTTTCCTTTTCGAGTTCGTCCTCGTCGAACCCACATTCCTCATCGTCGACGGCATGATTACCCTGTGGATGTCGACCAACACAAATCCTAGGATCATCCTCCGTTTCCTCATCCGATCCTTTGCTTATCTCCCGTAGCGTCGCCCTCCGGGACGCAGCACCATCGTCCTTCTGGCGAGTGGGAGACGGAGGAGTAACCACGACCTTCCTTTTGTATGTGATGACAGGGGTGCATTCGTGTTGCCGGTTGGACGGCTGAGACGGTCCAACACACTCCTTAAGGTGGGACGAACCCACAGGAGGACCACGGGCCACTTCGTCAGGCGGATGATGCGGCTGGCTCTGTTTGTTGCGGCGCCGAGTCCCGTTCGCTGACGTGTGCTGCGTTGGAAAACAATGTGGCGTCCTCTGTTTCTCTCTCTTTGCTATACCGGAGAGATCCTCGTCCGGCGTGTCAAAAGGCACGAATGTCGGGGACATACGATGTTCGGCCTCTACCGTGGGACTGTTTCCGGATCTCCTGTGCCCGTTCGTTTTGCTGAGGAATTTCACGGGGCAAAGCATCGTCAACACACTCCCGTCTTCTTTCGGGGACACATCGAAGGCTTTCATGGTAATAGCCTTAGCGCCAAACCCCTTGTTCATCGAACACCGTTGTGAGAAAAAACTTCCTTAACTTCCGTCCGTGCCCGTCCATCCTCTCATCCTCAGATTTAATAATCCCTCCAACACAGAACCAGTCATCACCCGTGGCGTTCTTCAGAAACACAGTGGCCCCACATCCCGCCTCGTGTAGCCCCCCCACCCAATCGAGGGCCCACTCCCTATCTCTATAGATTGTGCAGGTGTTGTAGACTCTCTTTTCCGGGACAACAGATGTTCCTCCTGATGGTAGGCACATTCCAAACAGAAGAACGGATCGCATTCAGATATCAAACCTTTTACTATTGCCTCACGTAAGTCGTGGACGCATTCGAGCGTCGCCCGGTATACGCCTTCTACCTATTTAGACATTCGAAAGAGAGGCGTGGCACTGTCCACATACGGGGCCGTTAGGGTAGGGGGGGCGTTTCGAGAACGCTGTCCCCCTCCGGTTCTCAGAGAGGGGAGGGAGCGGGGGCACGGCGATTTCGACACGCCACGTCAAAAACATGTAGTGTCTTGTGTCTGGACCTCTAGGCCATGTCCGGTGGGGTGAAAGGACACTTAAAAATCACCCAGTTATTTTTCGAGGGGCGGCTAGGACCCGACAAACGTCCTGGGCCGCCCCTTTTTTTTTTTTTTTTTTTCACCAGGGGCCTCCATCTTGACATGGGGATCGGACACCGGATACCAGACACCGGACACCGGACTGTCTGGAGCCCGGTCAGTACGCCTGGGCGGTTACCATGAAAAAAACTACTGTTCTGCATAGCACGGCGAACGAGTTCTTCATCTGAATGCTCCCACTTACCGGAGTGTGTTGCAGCGGTTGAGACCGCACAGTCCGAAACTTTTGTTTCAATTGTATATTATTTGTACTTTGAGTGAAATTTCGAATTGGCACTGTTCATGGCCATAGCCCAAGCTTGTGTGTTCTTTATCTCAATGCTCCCAATTTGCATGTGGTATTTTGAGTTGGATCTTGCGGGAATCATTGCAGTAATAAAGAAAAGGGAAAGTTTCTTTTTTCGTGTGTGTGTGTGTGTGTCCATGTGTGGGGGTGTGTGTGTGTGTGTCCATGTGTGGGGGTGTGTGTGTGTGTGTCCATGTGTGGGGGTTAAGGGCGACTCCTTCCTCACCAATCAACCAATAAATCAAACAACCAATCCAAAAAAAGAAACAGTAAGAAAATATAAACAGGGGGCTCTACCCGCGCATGTGTGTGTGTATGTGTGTGTGTGCGTGTGTGTGTGTGTGTGTGTGTGTGTGTGTGTGTGTGTGTTCGAGGGGGAAGGGCGACCCCTTCCCCACCAAACAATCAATCAATCATTCAATCAATCTGCAAGGAAGATGAGTAATAGCGAACTTTATCAATCAAACAACATCATACATATGAGTCCAGATAGTCTTGACCTCGAACCAACAGCAGAATTGCATCACGAGATACACCAAATAAGAACACACCAAGAATTGATAATTAAGAATGCTGAAGTAATCCGATCATCATCAACGAAGAACCAGAGTTGATATCCTATTGGCGCTCGGCGCTCAGACTACATGTGGCAGATGCTATCTAGCCTATACTACGAAGCCGAAAGATGACATCAACAACGTTCCCGAAGTACGAGCATATGGCGACCAATGTCGCATGCTTCAGCACCAGGTATGTCTCGCGCTACACTCACAACCTCGTTCCCCAACTCACAGATGCCACTAGCACTCAAGGACCACCCTACACTTCACCCATGATACAGCAGCGCAGCTCGAGTATGGCTGCGTGCTCCTTCCCTGCTCGCCCGTGAGAGCGTAGGCGCCAGCCAGCTAATAGCGCAGCAGCAGCGCTTGCGCAACATGCAGCCAGCACCTAAATGCCGAATGAGGAGGCAAGCCCTTCCCTATATCGAAGTGGCCTGCCTGTGTCCAGTCCAGGAAGCTTCCAGTAGGCCCCGGTAGCCTGAGGCCTTGTCACGAGGAGAGCAGGCCTTGGGCCTGAAGTGGTTGCATGTGCCCAACTGCTTTTCGGCCTGTGTTTGGCACTGTACCCGTATCCAGCCCAGGGCCTGCTTCACGTACATTCACACAGGCGGCCCAGGGCCTGGGTTCACTCAACCAACTGGCGCTGCGCAACTCCCTGAATTTCCCTGAGTTGCGTGGTGGCCAGAAAAGGGCCCTGGGGCCTCGTCGAGCCTGCCTTCACTTAGGGCGGCCGACGGGCTGCAAAATAGGGGCCTTATGGGGCTCTTAGAGGCAGTAGCCTCACATTCCCTCCTCCTTAGCTTCAATAGTCCTCTGAGAAGCTCAATCTTCGATCATAGGGCGCTTTCCCTTTTGCAGAGATCTCTCATATTGAGTTACAACTTGAGGAGCGGTCTGCATGAGTTCTTCTCTCGTGAACCAGCGGTCCTCCTTTGGATCAATGTGATGTCGGAACCGAACGCGGTACTGCAGCTTCGGTTTTGGAGGACGTCCCCTGCCTGCTGGTCTGGATACCGGCAACTCTCTGTGATCCACAATATCATCGATGTCCACCTCTCCGTCCATGGTTGGGGGCAGCATTGAGCGACGAGATGGAAACTGGTCAGTCTCTTTGAAAGGTGCCAGCTTGGAGGCGTGAAAGACAGGGTAAGTACAGAGATGACTAGGAATCCGGATAACGTATGATGGACCATCCAGATCTGTCCCGACGATGTCCAAGACTTTCCAAGGTCCAAAGTACTGAGACATGAGTTTGCGGGATATCCCGTACTCCTGTCCCAGTTCTGAAGACTTAACCCAGACTCTATCCCCAACCTGAAATGTAGAAGGCCGACGGTGTCTGTTTTCGGACTCTATCATCGCGGCCTGTGCCTTTTGCATCTGTTCTACCGCCTGCTGCATCTTCAGTTCATAGCGGTAAGCAAACTCTAATGTACCAGGTGCAGCAGTTGACTGATTCTCAGGAAGAAGGAAATCCAACGGTAGTCTAGGCTTGAAAGTCAGTAGCAGACTGTTCGGGCTCACCCCAGTGGCGCTGTGTACCGCATTGTTATACAGACTGGCGATGAGAGCAAGCTTCTCATCCCAGTCCACCTGGTTGGGCTTGATGTAATGCCTCAACAGGTGTTGTACAATGCAGTTCAGTTGCTCAGCCTGGTCGTTGGCCTCTGGGTGATTCCCAGAAGTCATTTGCAACTGAGTGCCCTGTTCTGCAGCAGCGGCCTTCCACAACTCGTTGGTAAACATGACATCCCTGTCACTAACAATGGACTTCGGTAGACCAAAGTCCCTGACCCAGTTCTCTTTAAACATTCTAATCACGTAATCCGTTTTTGCTGTTTCTAGCATGGCTACTAACCTAGCATACTTACTAAATCTATCCATGATGACGAAGATGTGACGCACTCCACTCTTGTTGGTGATCAGAGTATCCATGAAATCCATGAACAGACTCTCACCAGGCCGTTCCGGAATCGGAAGGGGCTTCAGGAGCCCAAAAGGAGCCTGAGTATGTGGCTTGTCCCGTTGACAGACTTGACGAGTCTCCACATACAGTTGCGCATCTCGCATCATTGTGGGCCACCAGAACCGCTGCAACACGTTGCCTGCGGTCTTCTTATACCCAAAATGGCCGGTGGTATCATGACATTCWCCTAAAAATAAACTACGCAAAGACTCGCTATTTGCAATGCACAAGCGTTTATTCCCTGCCTTCTCTAGGAACAACAAGCCATTGACCAACTCAAACTCGGCGGAAGTCTTCTTATCCTTTGCCTCAAGTCTGCGTATGATCTCAAACATAAACTGGTCCTGGCGATAGGCTTCCACCAAAGACTGAGTAAAATTGTCCGTCAGATCGAACTCAGTAATCACCGCACCTAAGAAGTCCGGTCTGCGCGACAAGGCATCAACAACCTTATTGTACTCCCCTTTGAGATACTGAGGGTCAAAGTCATATTGTTCAATGACTTCGATCCAACGTTGAGAGCGTCAGAGAGTACCGGTTGAGTTCTCATCCATCTCAGGGTCTGATGATCAGTCCTGAGGATGAATAACCTCCCAAGGAGATAGTGTCTCCAATGGGTGAGAGCCTTGTACACCGCATAGAGTTCCTTCTCATAAGTGGACTTAGCCAAGTTCTGAGACGACATTTTCTTGGACATGTACTCTACTGGCCTCAACTTTGGCCCCTCCTGCTGTGCGAGTACGGCGCCAATGCCATATTGGCTAGCATTCGTGATGACTATGAACGACTTGTTAGGATCGGGAAGTTTCAAGACTTCATAGTGCGTCAACGCATGCTTCAGATGTCTGAAAGTAGCCTCACACTCATCTGTCCACTCCCACGGCGTTTCAAGGCGGGTATGATCAGTCAAAGGAGCGGCCACTATGCTATAGTTCTTTACAAAAGTTATGTAGTAGTCTGTCATCCCTAAGAAAGATCTCATCTCAGTCACAGACTTAGGACGTGGTCAATCATGAATGCTGGCCACCTTCGCGTCATCGGGCTTCAACCCTTCCGCGGAGATCTCATGACCCAAGTACAAGACACGGGTGCGGCCAAACTCGCACTGGACGTGGCCAATCATGAATGCTGGCCACCTTCGTGTCATCGGGCTTCAACTCTTCCGCGGAGATCTCATGACCCAAGTTCAAGACACGGGTGCGGCCAAACTCGCACTTCTCACCGTTGATCTTGAACTTGTGCTGTGGCTGGAGACCGATGACTTTGTCCAAGTGTGCAACATGTTCCTGGACAGTTTTACTAAAAATAAGTATGTCATCGAGGTACACGATGACAAACTTATCCAAGTAGTCATGGAATATCTGATTCATAGTGTGCTGAAAGGTGCATGGAGCATTGCAAAGGTCAAAAGGCATCACCACAAACTCGTACATCCCGTACCTGGTCTGAAAAGCGGTTTTGTGTTAATCCTCGGACCGGATTGCAATCTGATGGTACCCGGACTTCAGATCTATCTTGTTGAAGTACTGACACCCTTGCACTCTATCTAGCAGATCGTCGATGCGCGGTAGACCCGGGGCTCTCTGTTCTTTACAAAGATGGCATTGAGGCCCCTATAGTCAATGCACATCCTAAGAGTACCCTCCTTCTTCTTAGGCACGAATAGAACTGGGGACCCATAAGGAGAGATACTCGGCCGGATCCAGCCCTTCTCTACGAGTTCCTTGAGTTGACGGGGAAACTCATCGAGCTCGCCTGGAGACATCCGATAGATCCTACCCTTCGGGATACTAGATCCTGGGATAATTTCTATCGCGTGGACGACCTCCCTCTCAACAACCCCTGTCGGCTCTTGAAATAGATCAGGGTACTTAGCAACTACTCTCTCTATCTCCGGCGGCATTTTCACTGGTTCGCCTGCAGCAGAGACATAAACTAAGTACATACCCTCCTCCTGATTTTGCTTATAATAATTGTAGAACGCGGCCGCACACATGCACCCGTAGGACTCAATCAGACTACTTGCTTTGAACTTATATAATCTGGCGGTCCCTCCATTTGGCAAAGTGTGTTTGACCACTTTTCGGTCCCATTCAAACTGGGGCTGTGCCACAGAGAGGTAGTACATACCTAACTTGAACAACATGTCCATGGGGAGTTCATCGCTCACTAGGAACGAGACACGATGTCTCAAGTCCCCTCCCGCGTACGGGAAACAACACTCTACATCCTGGAGGTAGTCGTTAACTACCATGCGTTGTTTGTTGGCACACTCCACAGGTCGACTCAGGCGCTGCACTCGCCCCTGTAAGCGCAGTCTCTCAACGCACGCGCGACTAATAAAGTTCCCCGTCGAGCAAGTGTCATAATAGGCCCCGGCCTTGCGACCGCCAATAACAACCTCGCTGACGAACATCTCACCCTTAGGGGCTTTGACTAAGGCCGTCCAAGAAGCTAGCGGGTCTAATCTAGACCACTCCACCTCTAGCTCCTCCAAGGACTCGAACACATTCATCGAAGAGAGGCTCGACGGGTCTGAATGTGTTTGCGGGACGACATTGGAGTCAGTAGCTTGGGCCATCTCTTGAGATGGTGAGGGTGTCTCCACCACCTCGACCCTAGTAGGAGCAGCTACAATTCCTACTGGCTCGACGTGTTTCCCGGAGCACTGCCTGAAGTACTGGCTATGTTGCTGCCAACGGGATGAGAGGATCCCAGCACTTGCCCCATCGTAGGCAGGATCTTAGAAGGCTATCACTCCACTTGTATTCACGTATTTGTAAAAGATGAGTCTTAGAACACTACCAATTAAACAGAAGTTCGTTTCAGGAATTATAAATTACACTCCACTTGCATGGACGTATTAGTAAAAAATGAGTCTTAGACTGTGTGTCCATTCAACTCGCAATGGGATTTATTCAACTCTGTTGAACCCGTTGAACGGCCATGAGGCCCGAGTTGAATCCCCGTTGAGCGGTACAACGGGGGCTTCCCGTTGAAATCCGATCAACGGGTCGTGCCCAATGGGCCTCGGACGCGTGGCAGGACACACGTGGAAAAAAAAAAAGTGAAAAAAAAAAGTACAAAAACTACCCTGTGTGTGTGTGTGTCTGTGTTCATGTGTGTGTGTGTGTATGTGTGTGTGTGTGTGTGTGTGTGTGTGCATGTGTGTGTGTATGTGTG